TATAAAATGATAGGGACAGCACAGTTAATATGTTCTTATTTAGAAAAAATAAAACTTGGCCACACTATTGGTTTCCCCCTCCTCTAATTTTTTTTTAAAGACTTATTTATTTATTTATTTATTTGAGAGAAAGAGCAGGGGGAGGGGCAGAGGGCGAGAAACACAAGCAGACTCAGTGCTGAGCACGGAGCCCGACGTGGGGCTCGATCTCATGACCCCAAGATCGTGACTTGAGCCAAAATCAAGAGTCAGATGCTTTACTGACTGAGCCACCCAGACTCCCCTAATTTTTTTTTTTTAATTTACTGCTCCAGCATAAAATCTAAATGCCTGGGAAGCACTCTCCCACAGAAGTATGAAAGTAGCGATTCATGTGTAAAGATTAATCATAATTTCCAAGAGCTATACAGGCCACAAAGTTAGGCTACCTCAAAGTCACAAAGAAGCTGACAGTCTTCTCAGACAAGAGACAAAATCAGAATATACAGCCTGAAAGTCAAATGTGAACCTCAATACTCAGAAATTCCTCTATCAGTTAGATTTGTAACAAAAATTAACGGGAAAATAAATAATTCCGGTAGTATGGTGGATGCACAGAGCACACCACTGTGAGCAAAATGGCACAATTCATAGAGCATTGAAGTTGGACTTTAAGAGCTATAGTATCTAGTGATGTCCAAAGAAGGTATGAAGCTTCTGCGGCCACCAGAAGAACAAAGACAAAAGAACTAAGTTTGACTGGATCTCTTAAATCAGCAACCTTCTATTCCTGTTGCCTTCCTGATTAAATATCATGATGCAAAATATCTGCACACTAAGTAAAAGAATTCCAGCTGGTAGACATGACTCAGACATTTGTAAGAATATAGTTAATACATGCAAGCCCATTAGGTTTTCAGGTAACAGGAAGAAAAATGCAGTACAATTTATTTTTCTCTTGCTAAGGCACTGTCATGTAAGCATAAACTTCGAGTATTAATAATAGAATCCAGGTTTACAAGATGAAAGCATAGTGAGAATGTCAGATGCCGTGGAAGCTCGTGTGTTTCTCAAAACTAAAAACTGCAAGAAGAAAAAACAGAAGTGGCCTGCTTTATCCATCTTGCTTAACGAAAGAGCTGCGGTTTAAACTGTTTAAAGTCACAAACTGTTAATTTTTGGAAATGATGTGGATGCTGGCTACTAGTAGTATCAAAAATATATTCAGGATCGTTTTTGCTGTATTTGTAATTTTAAAAAGTTGAAGGAGGTTGATGAACTACTGTTAGAAGCCATTCCTGTGTTACATGTAACAGACATGGTAATTATTTGTTTATAATGTTTAGTAAGCCATCCATTTAAGTTTAAACAAAATCAATAAAAACGAAGTATGTTGGGGTGCCGGGGTGGCACAGTCGGTTAAGCAGCTAACTCTTGGTTTCGGCTCAGGTCCTGTTCTCAGGGATGTGGAATGGAGCACTGCATCGGGCTCTGCGCTCAGTGTGGAGTCTGCTTAAGATTCTCTCTTCCTCTGCCCTTCCCCCCCTCAAATAAATAAATAAATCTTTAAAAACAAAAAGGAAATACGTACACATATATGATCTGGAAATTAAAGTTAGTCTTAAAATGCAAGTAAAATATGGAAAGGGTCTTAAAACTTTTTTTAATCACATACTCAAGAAGGTACCTACCTGATACCCTCACTCTCCACTATTCTATTGGCAAGGTGGCCCTTGTCTCCAAGGTGGCCCTTGAGGGCAGTTCAGGACCAGAGGACCAATGGCAAGTTACCTACCTATCTCCACGTTAGCCTTCTCATTCCCTCCTGGACTATTCTACGTGACGTCTGTCTCTTCTCTCTTTCAGCACACCATGTGAACCCTCTCTTCCTTAAAACCCAGCTCAGGGGCTCCTGGGTGGCTCAGTCAGTTAAGTGTCTGCTTTCGGCTCAGGTCATGATCTCGGGGTCCTGGGACTGAGCCCCGCATCAGGCTCCGTGCTCAGTGGTGAGTCTGCTTCTCCCTCTCCCTCTGCCCCTCCCCACTGCTCATGCTCTCTCTCGCTCGCTCTCTCTCAAATAATAAATAAAATCTTTAAAAGAAATACAATAAAACCCAGCTCAGTATTCACAGCCTCCATTAAAACAAAGCAAAACAAACTAAACAGAAAACACGTGGCTTGTAGATCTCTCCCTCTACTTCTGCACAGACCCTGCATTTATGCACTCAGTAGGATAGAGCACTAAACAAACACTGGATGATGATACAAGTATTTTCTCTAGGACTGAATCAGGGATAATCTGGGATAACAAAGAATATAAATATTATTCATCACCTATTTTGGAAAAATTACAGCCAGTAATTCCATTATCCTAAATATAAATATTTCTGCAGAAACAAAGCCTATCAGAATTTAATCTTTACTCAAAACAAACCATTACCTGTGTTTAATGGACCAGAGCAGTTAAAATGCCACCAAGTAACAGGACCAGTCTGAACATGTGGTCTGGAAATTCTATTCGACCACAGAGCAAAAAGCACACACCACTGACTCGCTTAATCTAATTAAGCTTTCCCAAGGCTGAAAATTCTGTGTGTCGCAAGCAAAGCCACTAAATTCTCGTCCAGAAGTTGTTGCCTACCCAATTACTCCCATCTCTCCCTCTCTGAAGATGGGTCAAGAGGAAACGATGAAACAGTCTTTCAAACCCAAAGCAGCCCTGCCCATCAGTGTCCTCCAGCCCCTCACTCTGCCCTCCCCTACCCTGCAGGTTGCACTCTTTTGGACCGCTTTGAGTCCTCTCTCCTCTCTGATGCATCCTGGTGTGCGCTTTTCCTTCTCATGTTGGGTAAGGACAGTGCAGTAACCAGAAGTGACACAGAGACAGGGCAGAATTGTTTTAAGGTAATACAAGTGAAAAGATGTCTGTAGACACTGAGGAAAAAACGTCCCTAGGATGGTAACGTATGAAGTCCTGACTGTCCTCATCAAGGCCTTTATCACAATCCGCAATCACATACTCAGGTGCTTCCCAACTTACTGCAACCGATTCCCCTTCCCCTCCTTCCTTAAAACACTTAATATTTCACTTTTAAGACTCGAGTCTTGAGGCACCTGGGTGGCTCAGTGGGTTAAGCATCTGGGTTAAGGTCATGATCCCAGAGTCCTGGGATCGAGCCCCACAACGGAGAAGCAGGGGAGCCTGCTTCTCCCTCTGCCTCTGCCCCCATTCATGCTCTGTCTCTCTCTCTCTCTCAAATAAATAAATAAAATCTTAAAAAAAAAAAAAAAGCATTCAAGTCTTTTTTAATGAAAGGGATATCCTGAGATTCCAAAGGCACTTTTTAAAAATTGTAATTAAAGTAATATGGACAAATACTTCCTCTACCTTGATTCTATGAAGTACATATATCACTTATAGGAATTATACAACAGTGATTTTCAGTCACTGAGGTGGGACTGGACACAGTATCTAGCCATGTTCAATTCCATACAGGCAGTTGGGAACAATAGAGAACGAAGACTGGCACCCCGGTGGCCCCCAAAATATACTGCTATGCGCCACCAAAGTGCTATTTCCTGGAGAGAACTGTGGGTCCTTACAAGAAGACACATAAACAAGGCCTGGACCAACAGCGACATCGCCTGAAGTTCACCAACACGGACTGTCTCTTGAGTACCCAGCAGTGGATGAATGATGAGTGTAAAGAGAAGAATGTGGGGGTGCCTGAGTGGCTCAGTCATTAAGCGTCTGCTTTCAGCTCTCAGGTCATGATCCCAGGGTCCTGGGATCGAGCCCCGCATCGGGCTCCCTGCTCCATGGGAAGCCTGCTTCTCCCTCTCCCACTCCCCCTGCTTGTGTTCCCTCTCTTGCTATGTCTCTCTCTGTCAAATAAATAAATAATATCTTTAAAAAAAAAGAGAGAGAAGAATGGGAGGGAGACTTTTTTTCAGCTTAGTCAACGTGGGCCATTATAACAAACGACCACTGACGGGGTGGTTTACACGGCATTTATTTCTCACAGTTCTGGAGGTTGAGCGATCCAAGATCAAGAGGCTGGTAGAACTGATGTCTGGTGAGGACCCACTTCCTGGATTGCAGGCAGCCATCTTCTTGTCATGCCCTCACATGGCAATGAGCAGGGAAGAGCAAGCTCTCTCTGGACTCTTATAAGGGCACTAATTCCATTCATGAGGACTCCATCCTGGTGACCTCATCTAACCCTAATTACATCCCAAAGGCCCCACCTCCTAATACCATCATATTCAACATACACCTGGGGCGGAAGGGGGAGAGGCACCAACACTTTGGCCCATAACGGGAACCCACAGGATCAGTGAAAGTGTAGACACTGAAGGTTACAATCCATGAGTGCCATGGCACCAATGTGTCAAGTATGCTGGGCACACAGAAGAGGGAGCAATTAATTCTGCTTAGGGAAGGGACTCAGAAAAAGTCCCATGGAAGAAAGGATACTTCAACTAGGTATTGAAGAAAGAGTAGGAACTGACTAAGAAGGTAAGTGGAGAGGGAATTCTTCAGACAAAAGAATGACACCTCAAAAATCTCCTTCTCTCTCTCTCTCTGTAATTGCCTGGGGTGAATAAAACCAACTTACCAATTTTAATCAGAGCTAAACTAGACTTTTGACTAATGTTGAGATTTCTCCAAAAGTTATTGGTTTTCAGTTTATCATCTATTCGTAGCATCTACAAAAATGACCTACTGAATTCGCAGAGGCAGCAGAATTTTTAGAACAGTAACAATACTGAAATGAAACTTAACAGTGTAGTTTACCTTTGTGGCCAATCGCCCGTGTGCATTCTCCAAGCTCACCAAAGTTGATGGGAAGTGTCATTTGCTGCCCAAGCATACATTTCCTTAAGTACTTTGTTATTTTAATATAAATTGATAAAATTTAAATGCTATATACCTACTTCTAAACTCAACCATTCTCAGTAAATCGCTGAATACTTTACATAAACAGTAAGATTTTTACAAGATGATTTGTTATTCTTACCTCCATGGGAAAAGCTTTGAAATTAACTGTGTGCTCAGAACCACGCTGGTTTTCTCTCCCCCAATGAAATCTAACTTCATACAGTTCAAATTCATGCCCTTGAGGCAATGGACCTCCTGACAGAACTGAAAAGAGAAAGTAAGTTCTGTTTAAGTAACAGAAAACATATTCATCAGTACAGTAGAATACCGTAGAATAAACATGGGGGACGTTTTTTGACAGAAAGCTCTTGTGAGCTCTAAAGATTAAATTCATGTAGCCAAAATGAGAAATATATTCTAACTGTGGGAAGCATTCACACTATCACACTGATACAGTAAAGTTCAAAAACTCTGAAATACTTGGTAATATTGCATACCATCAACTTCTTGTGTTTCAGGTAAAGGAGTAGACAAAGAAGACACAGAGGACCTATCTCTCTGAGACTTACACTTAGCACTACTCAGGAGACAAGGACAGGGTTTACGTCCCAGACTGACCAACAATTTGCTATCGACCAATCAATAAATTAAACCTTGTTTACAGATCATCCATCTGTACCATACTTTCAATTTAGAGAATAAGTGTAAGCTAACAAAATTACCCTTGAAAAGAATGTTCACACCAATATGATTTTCCGAAAACAAAATCACACTTATTTACCATTTAGTACCACAGAAATGCAAATGAAATAAAATTATGATAAAATATTAACAATATTTAAAATGTTAACATTTGCGGGGGGGGAAATGTTAACATTTGTTCTACAGGGCCCTGCCTCTATTTCTTATTTCTGGATAGGGCCCAGAACTTTGTCCCAAACAAGAGCACTCTAAAGGATGATGAAAAATACATTTGTGTAAAAGAACCTGCCTTGAGGCAATAAAACACTTTCCTTAGTTAAACACACCCTGATGTCATAGAGAAAAACTTCGTTCGTTACAAATGACCAATTTTGACACAAATGAAGACTGTCTGCATTTTTCCTATAAAAACTGTGAATTCTAAGGGCGCCTGAGTGGCACAGTTGGTTGAGTGTCCAACTCTTGGTTTCGGCTGAGGTCATGATCTCAGGGTCCTGGGGTCCAGCCCCGCGGTGGGTTCCCCACTCAGCATGGAGTCTGCTTGAGATTCTCTCTTTCCCTCTCCCTCTGCCCCTCCCACTCGTGCTGGCTCTCTCTCTCTAAAATAAATAAATAAAACCTTCAAAAAAAAAAAAAAAACCTAATTGGTATCAGCTAAGAATTATAAGTTATTTTTAGTCCAGGAGCTGACAAAATTTATCCCCTCCCCCAGGAAGCAGTCTCTGAGAGAGAGGGGCACTCACACTTGGGCTGGCATTGTGGGGGAAGCAGTACGCCCAGAGCTGAGTGCTGCACAAGGGAACGGGCCTGTGTTCAGCCTTACCCTAAACCCTAGAGGACAGGAAAGGGAATTGGTGTGGCAAGATTTATTTGTTTGGCTGGTTCTTCTTCCAATCACTTGTTCCAAGAAGAATTTAAGGCTTCTTACATCAAGTACCTGTCATCCAGCCAGAAGGCATAAATCAGAAAGAAGAGCAAAGGGAAAACGAAGACAGAGACAGAAAACAGATGGAGACGCTAGGCTATTGCACAAATGAATGCCGTGAAGTCCTTACGAAAAGTACCCTATATGTGTGGTTCTATTCCTTCTGCCAGCTCAAAGAAGAAAAAGAGCATCAAGCAGCAGAACACAACTGTAATTTTCCTCTCCAGGGGGAAAGGAAGTGAGACACATGGACGTTAGGATAACACTATCTCACACACGATTTTTAGATTTTCTTCGTGCTTGGTCTTATTTTAAGTTGTACAACAAATCAGAGGGGTCAGGAGCGCCTGGATGGCGCAGTCGGTTACACATCCAACTCTTGGTTTCAGCTCAGGTCGTTATCTCAGGGTCGTGAGATCGAGCCCCACATCAATGCTCTGCGCTCAGTGCAGAGTCTGCTTGAGATTCTTCCTCTCCCTGCCCCTTCTGCTTAACCCCTCTCTCTCTCTTTCTCTCAGATAAATAAATCTTTAAAAAAAAAAAAATTGGAGGGGTCAGTCAGTGTCCCCATCCCAATGAACAGGGGAGAAAGTGTGGCTGGGACAGTTCAAGAGTGACCTGCCCTGGGGCACCCAGCTAGCCAGCTCCAGGAGCCTGGAACTCCAATCTTCTGACCCACATCTCACCCTGAGACAGGACAGGGAAATTCAAATCTCTGCGTCTCTGAGCCAGAACTGAAAAAAACAATGAGTTCTTTAAGCCTGGGCTTCTAAACTGCAGTCCCTCCTTTGAGTACTACACCTCATCCTATTTCCCAAAACAATAAAAAAAAAAAGTGAACACGTGGATCACAAAGGTTTACAGATATCCCAAACTGCAGAGCAAGCGCACGGCATGTTCTCCAATAACCATCCACACTGTGGATGAAACACTTGTATTTCAACAAGCAATGACACAGTTTGTAAATAACCTCAAAAAATCACTCCTTTCCCACTGGCTGCCCAATGTTGGTCTTAAGAAAAATCAGGAAGGAAGTCTGGACTGTACCCACTCCCAGAGGTGGAATGTACCCCACCTCCCAAACCAAAAAGAATCCATGGGAAAAAGCTTCTTGTAACATCCCGTGCCACACCCCGGCCTCCACCATCAGAACTCGAAAACACTCCGCACACTCCCCTCAGCGGGGCAGCGAGGGCCTGACCTGAGGTGTGGGGGCCAGTTCCCTAACACTCTACTTTTTTTTTTTTTTTAAGATTTCATTTATTTATTTATTTATTTGAGAGAGAGACAGAGATAGTGAGAGAACAGGAGCAGGCAAAGGGAGAGGGAGAAGCAGGCTTCCCGTGGAGCAGAGGGCCCGATGCGGGGCTCGATCCCAGGACCCTGGGATGATGATCTGAGCCGAAGGCAGACGCTTAACCGACTGAGCCACCCAGGCGCCCCCCTAACACTCTACTTTCAACAGAAGGTGGAAATTGTCTTAGAGGAGGCTTAGCTCCACGTTGCTGAGGAAAAAGAAAGGGCAGCACTGTGAACGGAAGCACATGTGACATGGAAAAGAGGATTTATAAAATCTTTCCCCCAAACCTCTTTGTAGGGCACACGTACAGAAGCGCACCATACTTCTGAGCTGGTATAGAGCTGTCTACCCATACTTTCCTATAGAAACAGAGGAAAGTGACCTTGACAGTGAATTCAGGGCCCCAAAATACAACGCCCATCTGATCGATGCCCAGTATTTCTTTCCTAGGAACCAAGCCTTTAGTTTAGAACTTGAAGACAGAGCTGCTATTTTAAAAGCCCTAGAAACTCAAACTGCACCAATTTATGTGTTGACAGGGAGCAGTTCCAGGCCCACAGGGCTTCATTTACTCATCCTTTCAATTAATATTTTTATACCAGGTACCACATTAAATGCTTAAGATATACTGACTTGGCTAAAACGACAACATTCACTAGCCTCATGGATCTTACATTCTATTAGAGTGAAATGAAAATTCGCACGTTTATGAAGATCAACGTTTTGCTGAGTGGTATTTGGTCACCGCCTGGCAGATTTGTTAGCTGTGATGCCATTATGTTCAATAAAATTATAATGAAATAAGACCCTCACGGGTCTTACACTCCACTGGGTTGAAAAATAAACGCAAAGAAGGGAAGCCTTTTGCCCAGACCTGGTCCCCAGGGAGAGGTGACAAAGACGCCGCTTTCAGCCAGCAATCAAGGCTCCAGGTACCTTTTGCTGCAGATGAATAGTCCAAAGTTAAACCACACTAAAATCACATGGGCTGTACAAAGCCATAAAAAATAACAAAATACCGAATTCAGAATTTTATGAGGTGCCAGCTAAAAGCATTACCTGTTCATCCCCCAAGAATGATTGCATTGATAGACTAAAAATAAATAGCACCTCTGTTTTACCCATTTGGCAACATCCTCTTAAAGCTTTATTCTCCCTTTTCACAGCTTATTTTTTTAATAAGAAAACTAGTCATACCAAAAGGGGTGCACTTTTCCTACATTTATGAGCATCAAATTTTGCTGAGTGATACTTTGTCACCATGTGGTAGGTTTATTAGTTGTGATGTCATTGTGTTCAATAAAATTACAGTAAAACAACATGAAACTCCCACTGATGACACGCTGCACTTCCTTAGAATAACACACTGTGGAAAGAATATAAAATAAATTGATGCCATTTCCACTAGCTGCTTTTTCTTTAATGCTCTTTAATAGGCATGGCTGTTACGCTTATACACATAAAAAGAGCTCCTTTCAGAAGCCTCTGCAAAATCTGAGAACCCCATAAAGACATGATATATATGCATTTACCTAAATCTAGCTAAGCTTCCATAAGCCTTTGCCGAAAACAAATTTGCCAGAGTTTTCAAAGGCTGTTGATCAAGGCTTATCCCCACTCGTCTCATTTGAGTTCAACCCGCATTTAAAGCTGGACTCCATGCCCAGCCCTGTGTTGCCCACCAAGGAGGTAAAAACAAGGACACAGTCTCTGTGCTGGCTGGACATTCTCAGCGCTTAAGAAACTTAATACTGTCATTTAAACGTGAGGAGCAGTAAGGGAAAGTGCGAAGGAACCAGGACAGCACCAAGCAAGGGCCATGCCAGAACCACGGTGGCATCGGAAGATCAGAGAAGACTTTCCAGAGGAGATCACTAAGCAGTCTGGAAGAGGAAGCTAAGGGAAGTGAGTAAGTACATTCCAAGCAGAGAGAAGGGGCTGAGAAAGGCCTGGGTCTATTTCAGGGGAATAAAAGTAGGCTTCAAGATGCAAGCACCAGGAAGGGACTTGTAGGCTATGCCGAAGAGCTGGGAGTTTATCACGGAGGGAATCACCAACAGCTTTTAAGCAGAGGACTAATATCTTCTACATTTTAAAATGTTATTCCCAGGGGTGCCTGGGTGGCTCAGTTGGTTAAGCCTCTGCCTTTGGCTCAGGTCATGATCCCAGGGTCCTGGGATCAAGCCCCGCATCGGGCTCCCTGCTCAGCTGGGAGACTGCTTCTCCCTCTCCTGTTCCCTCTGCTTGTGCTCTCTCTCTCTCTCTCTGTCAAATAAATAAATAAATAA